TCAATGATTTTCCCCATAACTGTTGTACAAAATGTGAATTGGAATTAAGATTAACAAATATTTATCTTGAGTTGAATACAAAAGAAAAAAAATTTGATGATTCCTTTTTAAAATGAGTGAGTGCTAAACTGTATTTTATCATTAGTTTTTACTCTCATCCTACCTAAACAAACGAAATCTATAACGGTACTCATTGTAAGTGACTTTTTCGACACTGAAATTTGGTTAGATATCAGTATTCTATAGTGAATTTTGTACACAAGTGTTCGTTTCACACATTAATCCTAGTCTTACAAGTTCAAACAGATTTGGAAAAACGAGATATTTATTTTACCAGAAAAATTCTAATATTCGAAATTTTCCTGTATTAAACTTTTCTGTCGCATAAAACTTCCTCTCGGAAAACTGAGAAACATCAAGTTTTGTTTAGATTTTTCCACTCTTTCAAACGGTGCATCATTCAAAGAGTCTAAACAAAGTTTAGAGTCACGCTGTACGCAAAGAAAACGAGGATTTGTATATTTTTCAACGTTTTTCAAATCTCACAACTGCGACAGGTCTCAAAGTCTAACAATCTGTACGGCATTAATAGATAAGTTTCCTAATGGAAAACGTAAACGTCTCATAGAAAAAATAGATTTTTTTTCCGACATATTATCAGCGACTTCTTCCTTACCCTTGTGAAATCTCTCTTGGTAACTTTCGAATAACGCGAACTATAGAGCGTCGAATTTTCAAAGTTGTATAATCAACATCTTTTATACTCCTAGTAAAGCTTCTGAATATATTAGTTTTCCACATTAAAAAATTACCTTCGATGACATCCAATTGTAGACATTTAACATTTAAATCCGTAATATTATTTGAATTCAATAATAGATGAATTAAATCTGAAGAATATTTTACAGTTATTTTTAATTGTTTAATTGATGATGAAAAATGAAATATTCTAGATAAATGAATATTTTCTATAATAACGACTGATAAATTAGTTTTATTTGAAAATAAATACCGACTAACATTTTCATTATGAGAAATTGAATTTTTATATGGATTCGCATCAAATAAAATATATAAATAAGAGATGGTTAATGTAATTGGTGAACAATCAAGAAAACTTTTACAATTAATTGATAATAATGTTAAGTTCGTTAAATTTGGAAATTGAATTTTTGTATCAGAAGCACAAAATAAAAATTGAAATTGTTCATTTTCATTTAAAATTAAATGTTTTATTTTTAAACGTATATTATTTAATAGAAATTTGTAATTCAGAATATTACTGTCAAATATTAATGATGCTGATAAATCAACTGTAGATACACTAAAATTTGTTTGAATTAATTGGTATAAACGCTTATTATGTATACCATAAAATGAATAGAAAATATCAATTTTATTTTCGAATAATTTCAATATGTATAATAGAATTTCCGTAGGTAGATCGGTCAATGATACCATTTGGTGGTGGGAATGTTATGTTCAGCAGTAGTTCATTACATACACAGAAGAGTTTATCGTATGTACATGAGTTTATGTAGTGCACCGAGAGAGAGAGAGTGATATAATGTGAGTGATTTAATAGAAAAGACTAGGAAGAGAAGAAATCATTGTGTAAATTCATTACACATTTGAATTGTTATTTTTAAAAATAAACGAAGTCTACGGTGGCTATTTTTTATCTTAGCTGTTTAAAAGAATATTTCACTTTCGAACTTGGAATTTTTATTAATAAATTGTTCATAACATTTTCTTCGTTTGTGTTATATAGATAGATTT